CAGAGGAAAGAGCCAAGCTGTATGAGCTCAGCATAAATTTATAGTGGAGAAAGTCAGATGCACAATGAGACTTTCTCCAACAGCGTTCAGCAGTTCTGGAGCATTTTTGGAGGTATCGAGTGAGCTTGGTGTGCCAGGGTTGTTGTTGGGGGCGCCTGCGGCGTTTAAATGTACAAGGTGCCATGATGTCTAGTTGAGAGGAGAGGGTGGAATTGTAGAAGGAGGTTGCAGAACTAGGACAGGTGAGGTTTGAGATAGGTAAAAGGAGAGTTTGGAGATTAGTGGAGAAATGCTCTAGGTCAAGACATTGGAGGTTTCTGTGAGAGTGATGTTAAGACGGTGTCAATTGGGTCTTAGGTATGCCAATGTCAAAAGTCAGTAGATGGTGGTCAGATAGAGGAAAAGGAATATTGGAGAGATTAGAGGCAGTACAAAGGTTGGTGAAGGCAAGATCAAGAGTGTTTCCTGTTGTATGGGTTGCTAAATTGGACCATTGTGCAAGTTACAGAGAGCAGACAAGAGGCATCAGTGCAATTATTTTTGATTGGGATATTGAATATTATTCAATCCTCTATAATCAATGCAAGGCCTGAGATCACCCTCCTTATTGGAAACAAAAAAAAATCCTGCCACAGTAGGTGATTTTCTAATAAACATTTTCTAGGTTTTCTTTAATGTACTTCTCTAATACAGTATTCTCCTTAACAGACAGAGTATATGCAGTGCTTTTGGGAGGCATAGTACCTGGTAATAAATCAATCGCACAATCATACGACCTATGGATAGGTAATAAATTGGCTTTAACCTTATCAAATACTTCCTTCACCTTATGGTATTGTTCCGGAATCACCGTAGACACAGTAAATATGGTAGGTACATTGATAAGGTGAATAGGCTTTACATTGGTAATACATCCCTGACACCAGTTGTTACTCCAAGCTACGATATCACCTCTCTCCCATTCTATAGTTGGATTATGCTTTCTCAGCCAAGGGAATCCTAACACTATTGGGAAAGCTGGAGAAGATATGACTTGGAGTACACAAATCTCCTTGTGTAACATGCCTACCAACATAAGAATTGGTATGGTTTCATGTGTAATCTCAGGTACCCAGAGGGGTCTACCATCTATGGCCTCAACGGCCAAGGGTGTATTTCTTAACTGGGAGGAGATAGAATTTTCAGCTGCAAAATCCTGATCAATAAAATTCTCTGCAGCACCAGAGTCTATTAATGCTACAGTTGTAACCATGGAAAAAATAGGATATACCTAAACCTATAAAAGAAAGAAAGAAAAAGCTCATAGGGGAATAACATAAATTCACAGCCCCTTATTTCAATGTCACACTCACCAAATTGAAATGATTTTTAGGCTCATCAATTTTGTAGGTTCTGACAAGTTCCTCGTAAATAGGATGATGAATGTTGCATGCAAAAGATAAAAAACAACATAGTACAGCACTGTCATAAAGTATAAAACCGCTTTAATGGTTGCACTTACAGTGTAAAGAATGTAAAAAGGCCCATCAAAACAAATCTGTATGTCCCATCAGTATGGATTAGGGTGATCCTCACAGAAGTATTAGGCAGAAAAAACAAATAATTAAAATAAAAAATATAAACAATATAACTCTACACGTTTCATCTGTAATGTCAGACTTCGTCAGGAGTAAAAAGTCAAGTAAAGTGCTTCAAATCTTCTGGGAACTACAGCTGTCTTTTAAAAGTCCCTCCCGCCGGCTTTTCGTTCTGTTGCTCCAATCCGCTGCTTTCAATTAGCTAGGCTTCAGTTGCTCGTGCTCTATTTCCTTTTATGGAGTTCCGGAAAAAACGTCTGTGGAACTCACGTGCATTCCACTGATCCGAAAATGCTCTAATTTCATCATTTTGATAGGCTCTGCGGAAGTTCTATGTATAGCTGGAGCGCATATGCGTTCCATTTCATCCTTGTGCGATCGTCATATAGATTAAATAGTCCCAGATATTATAAAATGAAATTACAATATATTAGTCACTCATTGGACATAGTCTTTAAACAGCATTTTTTACTGAAGTATTCTTATAAGCATTCATTCCTTGCCCCATTTCCCTTTATGATTACAATCATAAAAAGTTTGAAAACATAAAATATAAAACATGCATCATTCTTATGATCTTTTAAAATAACCTGAATATTTGTTTATTTTACAGTATGAATGTAATATGAAACTTGAAGAGGGAAGTATTAGGAGTGCAGATAGAAAGTAACAAGGGAGCGTGTGAAAAAGGGGGAAAGAAAGAAAAGGGAGGGATTCTGGAGGCACCAGACTATAAAAATAAGATAAAAATCAAAATCAAAATCAATGTAAATCTATATATGTAATAAAATATAATAATGAAAAAAGAAATTAGAAAATGTTTCTTTTTCTTTTTTCCCTTTTTTTTTTATTGTTTTCTCTTCTCTCCTTCCTTTCCCTCTTCCTTTCCTTTCCTTTCTCTTTTCCCTTTTCCTTTCTTTCTTTCCTTCTTTCTTCCTTTATGAAATTTTTTTTTTTATAAAAAAAACAAATCAAAATCCACATTCAGCCCTAATGGTTGAAGTGTTTTTAGTCTATGTATCCAGAATCCCTCCCTTTGTCTAAGTTTGGTGATAATGTCCCCTCCTCTCACATCCAAATTCACCTGTTCGATAATTATCCAAGATAAACTGCGAGTTTTGAACATTGAACATTGGTTGCAATGTGTGGGGACTGAATGGTTCTGAATACCTTTTCTAATGTTGTTCAAATGCTCCAAAAATCGTGTTTTTGCTTTTCGTCCTGTCCTCCCCACATACTGTGCCCCACAACCACACGTGAGGAGATATACACCACATTAGTGGATGAACAGGTGATCCCTCCTTTGATCTTAAATTCTTCTCCAGTGGTTGTGCTAGTAAAGCCATGGACATGACATGACATAAATCTACAGGCTTTGCATTTTCCACAGGTATAGAATCCCTTTCTAGTGTTTTCAATCTTAATTGTGTTTTATAATTGGGGTAGACTAGGTGTAAGATATGTCGAAAGGTTTCTCCCTTTCCTATAGATGACCTTTGGGGCATCTGGTAATTGACGTCCCAAAAATTAATCGTGTTGTAAAATGGACCAATGTTTTTTGAAAATTTTATTTATAGAGAAGGCTTTGGAGTTGTACTGCGTGTTAAATGAAAATTCAAAAGGATTTTTTGAATTGTTGACTAATTCAAAAAATAAAAAATAAATTCAAAAAATCCTACAGAACCTACAAAATTGATGAGCCTGAAAATCACTTCAATTTTGTGAGTGTGACATTGCAATAAGGGGCTATCTGTGAATTTATGTTATTCCCCTATGAGCTTTTTCTTTCTTTATTTTATAGGTTTAGGTATATCCTATTTTTTCCATATGTATTCAGGATTGAGAGGAATCCTTTGTTATACCAAACTAAAAAGGAAGTAATTATCTTTTTTATTGTTTTATATGCACTGCACCTGGGTGGTCTAAATCTGTATTTTTGTATTATACAGTTTTAACCACTCTTTTTTTCCCCCCAAGTAAAGGTGATGTGTATAAGAAGCCTGTGATCTTGATTTTATGGAGGACAAAGAAACACCCAAGGCCTGTCCTCCATATGGACCTAGGTGCGTGAGTTTTCTGGCCTGCTAGGGCTAGACAAACGAAGATTCCCTCTTTGCCAACAATAAAGACAGAGTCCTTCTCTTCTCCTATATTGACGTTTGGCCTCACTTAACCTAGATGTCCCTAATTGCATGGGTTCTGGTAAGGCAAGTGCCATGGAATCAGAATTAAATAACGGTGTCATACGAATAGAAGGTCCTCTAGATCTGTCGCGGGTGTTTTGACTATACCTCATTCTTTCCTCTATGCGGGAAATGAAGGTTATTAAATCCTCTAAATTCTCAGGTAGGTCCCTAGTAGCTACTTCAACCAACATAGCTTCTGACAAACCATTCAAGAAGACATCCACAAAGGCTTGGTTGTTCCAAGCTACTTTAGACTAGGGATCTAATTTCCAGCGCATATTCTACTAGGGATTTATTACCTTGCCTAAGACGGAGGAGGGATCTAGCGGCATTTGCCTTTCTTCCAGGGGGATCAAAGGTCCCACTGAAAGCCTCTACAAAAGCCGTATAGTTATATACTATGGGATTACCATTCTGCCAGAGAGGATTAGCCCAAGTCAAGGCTCTGTCCACTAATAGATTTATTATGAAACCCACCTTTGCTCTATCTGTAGGATATGAACGAGGCTGGAGTTCAAAGTGGATACTGATTTGGTTCAAAAATCCACGGCAAGCTTCTGGCGCTCCACCATAACGCAATGGTGGTTTGACATGGGAAGATGCCCCTACAGTAGCTACCTCAAGGCCAGTGTTAAGAGAGGCCTCGGGAGCATTACGACTCTCCTCAGGTCCAGGACTAGGCCTATTGATAAGAGTTTGTAAAGCGATAGCCATTTGATCTATGCGATGGTCCATTTGCTTGAAACAGTTATTGCATGGATCTACCTGGTTAGTTACACCTGCTGGATCCATAATGGCCCTGTTGTAATGTCAAGATAGTGGGGATCATAAATACAGAATGTAACAAAAGCTGTAATGTACCAGACCTTAGAATGGCCGGGTTGATGTTACGAAGATAGAGAATAAACAGGACGAGTCGAGGTCAGGGGAGCCAGAGATCAGAAAGAACGAAGGTACTCAAGCCGAGTCAAAGGAACAATAGAAAGGAGAATAGTCAAGCAAGCCGAAGTCAAAAACCAGAAAATACAAATAAGTACAACGCGCTATTGGGACTATGAAGAACCACAACAGGGTAAGGAACCTAACTCAAGAACTCCCTTTTATACAGTGGCTGTATCTGGTTAGGATAACAGCCATGCCTCCAAAACATAATTTTTCGGATGTTTTGGTGATCCTTGACGTCATTTATGTCATGTCGACGCCCATTTTTTTTGCATCATAAAAAGGGGCAGAGCTGGGGGGGCGGAGCCAAGCTGCAGAACAGAGAAGTCGCATAGCATTGTAGCTCCTGCAATTTTATGCCAAAACACCCTAACCAAACGACCAAAATCGTCCAAAACAGCCTCAAATCCCAGGCAATAACAGGGGAAACGACATGGGACGGAAAAGCAAAAAACAAAAGCCCGATCAGCCCAGACTTGGCCCCGATATCGGAGCCATGTGGCGACAGGCCCACGGAGCGGTTGGGCCCAAGATGGCCGAATACCCAGAGACATACTCCGACCTGTCTGATGACTTCTCCCAAGGTGAGGACACACTTCACTCTCCCAGTCCACCAGCAGCAAAAGCCACACCACCAGACCCAGATAACGCACCAGTCACCACAGCGGTGCTCAAGGCATTACTGGCAGGCCTACAGACCACGATCCAGGCAGAAATGGCGGGCCTCTGCACAGACCTCCAGGGAATAACCGGGAGACTAGGCACCCTGGAGGATTCCTCCGCCACCACAGCTACCCATATCGCCACCATGCAATCGGAGATAAGGGGTCTGCAGAGTAAAGCAGAGGTCTATGAACGGCAGTTCGCAGCACTGGAAGACACGCAGAGCAACCAACATAAAGGTACGGGGAGTACCAGACGACATGCCGGCGGAGGAACTGCCGTACTTCGCGAGGAGGCTCTTGGCAGCGCTGCTACCAGCACGGAAAGCCAAAACAATAAGCCTGGACGGAGTTCACAGAGTTCCCAAACCGACCAAAGCCCCACCAGCGGCCACCAGGGACATTATACTCCGCTTCCAGCGCAAGGAAGACAGAGCCGCAACCATGGCAGCGGTCAAAAACCTTCCCCAGTACCCCTTCGAAACCATGTCCCTCTCCTTTTTCACGGACTTGTCCGGCAGTACCTTGGCTTGGAGACGGTCGCTTAAGCCACTTACAACGCTACTTCAGCAACGAAACATAACATACCGATGGCGCCTCAACCGTTCCCTGCTGGTGACACATAACGGGAACACCCATGAGATTCACAACCTCCAGGGAGCGGAGGACTTGCTACCCATACTAGGACTACCTTTAGATGCCATATGTCCCACGACAACCTCCAAACCACAGCACAGGTGGAACCCGGAAAGGGTGAAAACTTTCGTTCCGCGAAGGTCCGGACTCGGCTCCCCGGCTGACAAGCCGCAACAAACTATTGGCCGGGACTGTTTGAACTAACTCCTTGTGACTCTTTACACTACTTAGCAATTTTGCCTAACCTGTTAATTTATACTTCTTTTTACCTACCGTTATGAATCTAATCGTTCATGTACCTTAAATGTTACTAGCTCCTTACCGGGAAGACTCACATAAGAATGCTCCCAGTCAGGCTACTTACCCCACTCCTCCCCACCCCATCTGCCCTAAGCGGAAACAAGATGGTACATCACCCTAAACGGCAGACAGATGGGGTTACGGCACACCCAGCACCTAGATACCTCCCAAGCTATAGCAATACCTCACAAACACAGAGGGAAGAGAACACCGTAGAGCGATACACCGCACCACTGAGCTCAACACCTCTAGGACCAGCTGATTGAAACATAGGCGGATTTACCCCATAGCACACATCCTAACGGAGCAGACAACTCCAACTAGCTATACACACGCCAGGTATCATAAGACCTCTCCATAGCTATTATCAGGAGCGTATTTTTAGTACATATTGGCCACTCTACGGCTATTAGTATTACCCAGCTACAACATGTGTACTTATTGCGTGTAGTTAACTTAGCGATTGTTAGCATGTTATACTCTATAAATATTAAATGTGCAACTCCTCAGATATGCCACTGAAAGTTTTGATATTGCTCACAGTAGCTGTTGTGGCACTGCAAGCATGTATGTATCCAAATGCACAAGAAAAATAAAGAATTTAAAAAAAAAAAAAAAGGGGGCAGAGCTATCGCGGCCGGCTCGAAAACAGCTGGAGACAGTGGGAGAATGCCTGGGCAGTTCCCCAGCCTCTTGCAAGAGGACTTCAGTGTGTGGCACATCCTGTGCCCACACAAAAGGTACCCTGACAGAGACAAGCTGACAGAGGTTAAAGCCTACCTTAGCAATTAAATCAAGCATAGCTCCAGAGAGGTAAAGGTATAAATTTAGGTCCTGGACACACACATTGTCATTTTGGAGCAGAGCACGGAGCAGATGGCCATAGCATACAATGCGGTGGCTGAGCAGGTCAACTTCCTAACATCTATACTAGAGAAGGCAGAGGCTGCTCCAGAGGACTTTGCCAACCAGTCCAGACAAAATAACTTACACCTGAGAGAGCAGGAGAAGGTCTGCTAATGGAGACAGTGACGCCAATTTTAAAACTGCTCCTGCCCAAAATCAAAGGCCCATAATGCACATGGCATTTTGGGCTCGCAGAACAAAAAATAGTGATGCCGAGGGGTATCATCATTAGGTTCCATTATTATCACACCAACGAAGCAATACTAAAAAAGACCAGAGAGGGCCACATCACGTACCTAGGCAAGGAAACAGCTTTTTACCAGGAATTATCAATGGTGACCTTACAATGGCCCCAGGAATGGAAGCCAATTGTTAGCATACTGTGAGTCAACAATATACAATTTGCCTGGAGAATCCCTTTAAGGTGATGGCTTTTAGGGATTGCATGGGCAAAATATTTGGTTCGGCTCGGAAATTCGAGTAAGAAAAAAAAAAATTGTCTACTTCGGACCAAGGGCATTCGGTTCGGTTCAGCACTTCTGAAATTCAGGACTTCGGCAATTCGTAACTTCGGTAATTTGGACTCTACCCCTAACCTTAAACCCTAGACCTACCTATAACGTAACCCCAGGGGCGTACCTAGAGCATTTGGCACCCGGGGCGGATCCTGTGCTTGGCACCCCCCCCCCAAAAAAAAAAAACCTGTAAAAAAATTTAAAGGTTCTCTTTTTTTTTTTTTTAATTTGTAAACTTTGCAAAACCGCTGTCAGCCCCTCCTACAAAACCCTTGTCCTGTCCTGCACCTCCTACAAAACCTCTGTCCTGTCCCTTCTACAAATCCTGTACTGCCTCGTCTACAAAACCCCCGCAACCCCCTTCCACAAATCCCTGCTTATCCCCCCTTATAAAGACTCCTGTCCCAATACAAAGCCCCCGCCCCCTTCTACAAAATCCCTGCAGCCCCACACACACATTTACAGGCAGACAGTCACACACTCAGTTACAGACAGTCACACACTCAGTTACAGGCAGACAGTCACATACAGTCACAGGCAGACAGTCACACATACACATTTCCTCCGTGCGGCCAGTTTATCAGCTGTTTACTTGTGTGAGCTGTACTGGCCGCACGGCACCCTAACTACCATGGGACACTGTGCGGCCACAGCTCACACAGCCCCCTCCAGCCAGGGCCGGTGCAAGGATTTTTGCCGCCCTAGGCAAAAGTAAAGTTTGCCGCCCCCCCCCCATGTGACATCACAATGCCCCACCCATATGATTTGCCATGTTAACTAACGCCAGTGCTGCAGTGCCGCCGTGTTTACATTAAAAGGCCTGCAAGGACAGGCTATAGACACCAGAACCACTACATTAAGCTGAAGTGGTTCTGGGGACTATAGTGTTTCTTTAATGTGAGGTAAATTAGAGCTTAGTGCCACGAATAATATACTAGATTGCCTACTTACAACCAGATGAGGATGATGATGGGCTCTAGCTGCAGTCTGGCTCCACTGGTCTGGTGCAGAACAGGCTCTCTGGAGGCGGTTTGTAACTGTGGTCACAAAAATCAATGTTCTGGGAGAACGGGAAGCAGCTCCATTTTTTGGGGGTCCTTTACACAGCTCAAGGTCTGGGTCCCAGGGTCCACCTTCATGTTCCACCAATGAGTTTGTTCACAGGGGGTGGAGTGTGTAGGGGATGTCCTGATATGTGTGTAAGGAATGCATTGTGTGAAATTGTGTTTGTATGTGTAAGGGCTGCAAGGTGTGTTTCTGTGTATGTATGGGATGCATTGAATGTGTGTAAGGGGTGCATTGAGTGTGTGTAATGAATGCATTGTGTGTTTCTGTGTGTGTAAGGGATGCATTGTGTGTAACGGTTGCATTGCTTGTGTATGTGTGTCTGTGTGTGTAATGCATTGTGTGTTTTTCTGTGTGCAAGGGGTGCATTGTGTGTATGTGATGAATGTCAATCTCTCCTCCCGCTCCAATTTCCTTCTCCTCCTCCCAATTTCTCTTTCTCACCCCCCTCCTAATTTCTCTTTCCCCCCTCCTAATATCTCTTCCCCCCTCCTAATTTCAATTTCTCTCCCCCCCTTCTAATTTCAATTTCTCTCCCCCTCCTAATTTCAATTTCTCTCCCCCCCTAATTTCCTAATATCTCTCCCTCCTCCTAATATCTCTCCCTCCTCCTAATTTCTCTTCCCCCCTCCTAATTTCTCTCTCACCTCCCCTCTCCTTTCTCTTTCTCTCCCCCTCCTTTCTCTTTCTCACCTCCTTTCTCACCCCCCCTTTCTCCTCTTTCTCACCCTCCCTCCTTTCTCACCCCCCTC